TAGCAATTTCTTCGTCATTCCAACATTGTCCTGAAACTCATAACCAATACCACAGGGCATAAAGATTCACAACCCTGAGCCCACCAACCTGCAGGAACCCAATCGAACATCCTTCTAAACACTAACCAAACGCAACAAGAGCCATACCTTTCTATAATGCACAGTTCCTTCCATAGTACAAGCTATTACCCATAAAAAATTAGACGAAACATGGTTGCACGCATTCAGAGAATGGGATAGGGAGTTGTATTGTTGTCCTGGTTCAGAGGTTATAAACCAATAAGAATCATACCAATAATTTGTACCAAGTGCTCCTTAGCTCTCTTGTTCCGACCACGTACACCTCTCACGATGATACACAATGAACTACCATAATACTCACACCAACCCTGGATCTATTGCATTCCTTTTTTCCTCACAGCCTTATCCAAAGGGTGAAGTACCAGTAGATCTAATGGATAACGTGCCTCAATCGCTAACAATATCATCCTCATAAACGAAAGAAACAATATCATGTCCTTGACTGAAACTGAACGGATTCCACCACTATGTAACTAGTTCGATAAAACTCCCAAGGTTATCCAGAAATGCTACTAAAACCCTAATGACACAACATGCTAAAATTGGATTCTGCATAGATCCAAAGTCATACAAAAAAAACTAAACAATACCGCTCAATGTCCAAACTCCTAAAACCAAGAACAACTGCCAAATCCGAGCTCACTATGAACAATACTTCCATATTCAACAACTGAGGGTACCAATACCTGGAAACCAACAAAGTACAATTTACATAATTTGACGATAGGCTAACACATTCATCAAGCTTCCATTGAACTTCTTGAAAATTTCGAAGAACCTCTGCTGATGACGATGAATGAAATGACCAAGGATCGAGAATGCATTGACCAATAATCCACATATCCAATACACTATTGAACCCAGCCCATGAGGGACTACACATACTAAACCCTGAAGTTGATTGACAGATCATGTCTGCTCATTCCATACTAACGATGGAAATTTGCACGACGAGCTAACAAATCCCACATTAACGGATACTCAATGTGAGCGGCCCAAACACCTCCTGACCTAATCATCAGCGACCCTAAAGGAACCATTTGATACAATGAGATCTTTATCCAACAACTTCATGTGCGAAAACATCGCATGCACTCCTGAGCATCTATATCTGATGGCAACTTGCTCTGCATCCCGCTTTCACCCAATCTTGGACCAAAACCCCGCATACCCAGAACGCGGATACTTGTGACCTATTATGTCGCACTATAAAATTGAATACATCGATGATCCTCCCAACAGAATACCTAGTTCTCCCCCACTTAGGGATCAAACTACAACCAACTGGCATTGTAGATAGACCAATTCTCAAACCGGCTCAACCAGGTACATAGCATCCTTGACCCTTAGAATTTATGCCACAACGCAAGATGATCTTCCAGATAACGACCAAGCATCCTCCAAGGGATTCCGAATATCAGATGGAGACCTCGGAAACTTCCCAATCATAGTCGTCTCTAACATCAAGAATCCTGCGCATGTGCACAAAAGATAATTCTATTAGTCCATTCCTATCTCCGATTTCCTATCTGGAAATGAACGGACTACCATACACCTTGCCTATAAACCCCATACTGCCATACTTGCCCCCAAAACCGTAACTATCTAGCCCCATGTCGGGCCTACACCCCAAATTTGCAAATCGTCAGTCTGTTCTCTCCTTCTTCTGAACGCGGAACATTGGAAAAGCATAACCCTTTTTGAAGATAATGATGTCCAAATCCACCTGCCAATCATCCAGCCTCTGGCTGCGATCCTCGAGCTGATAACTATCACTGCTTGTTACTTGATTCCTGCAGCTCATACTACCACCACTTCGAACAAGGCCCTCCACCCTTTAGGATCAACTAACCTGCAACAGACTGCACCATCCAAGCCCAACTACCACGGCCTCACAGGTCCGATCCGACACCAAGCTCTTCTTTATTCGGAGAAACCATAACTGGAAACTGATGAAACAAAAACAGGATATAACTAAACCTTGAGCTAAACCACACTGTCTACAACATACCACAACATTTAGCCTGGGATGATTTACTTTGATATTTTGACTTTTGATTTTGATACAGTGTTTTGATATGATGTTTTGAGATACGATCACTTATGTTTTTATGAGTTGATTTGGGTTACTATGTTTTTATTTATAAATTAAAAATGAAAAATTTGGACTATATTTTTAGGATGTTTCAGTTTCTCTTTAGTCACCTATCGTCTTCTCTAAGGTGATTCTTAATTTTGTTCTTTCTTGAGGACAAGAAAGGTCTAAGCTTGGGGAGGTTTGATAGGTGCATTTTATGCACCTATTTTGCATGTTTATTTTCGTCCTTTCATAGCATTCTACTTCATAATTCTTGCATTTAGTTAATTATTTGGGCAATAACATATTTCATTAAGAATGTCTGGCACTTCACTATTTTTTTTTTATTTTGCAGGCATTATGGAGAGTGGAGCTTGAAGCTTAGATGCATGGAGCACGAAGCATGGAAATTGGAGCTTGGAGCATGGAACATGGAGCTTTGGAGCATGAAGAGAAGATGGACCGGTCATGCCATGGAAGAAAACATGAAAAAACAACCCGAGTCATTGTTGCATTATCATCATAGCAAAGGACTACGTTTGAAACACGGTTCATGTCACACCGACACGGGTCGTGTTTGTCCTTTCTCATCTTATATTTGAGCAATATGACTCGTGGTGAAGCTAGACTGAAGATGGAGCCAACAGTGAAGACTTATTGGACTTTTAGAGAAAAAAAAAAGCATGGGTCATGCGAAAAACACATTGTCAAGACAAATGGACATGCCAAAAACACATGGGCAAAACGCATGACCATGCTAAAAACGCATGGTCTTATGGCAAGCACGTGAGCATTAATAAAACAAGGGGGATCGCCACACTTTTGAAAGAGACGGTTTTGGAGCAACTGTGGGGCGATCTTGGGTAATTCTGGGAGATTTCTTGGAGCTTTTGAGAAGACCAGATCATTGCAAACACTTTTGATTTCATTTTGTAAGTATTAAACATTTCCAATACCATCTTTCTTTTTGATTGATTTGTTCTTAGTCATGTGTGGCTAAGAAACCCTAATTTCTAGTTCTTGTTCAAAACATGTTGATTGCTTGACTTGAAGCATATGATTTGATGATTGATTTGTGATTATATTCTAGTGATTATATTTTTGTTTAAACTAGAATCCTTGAATTTGATTTGTGTTTGATTGGCCACTTTCATGAATTGGATTTTTGTGTAGTTAATTAACTTTTAAGCACCTAATTGCTCTATTAAGTTAATAATTGGTAATAAACAATAAGTTTTCTTATTGTAAAACATATATCACATGTTTTCACACTTCCGAGCGTATGAGAAGAAATTAACATTGTTGGGAAGCTTGTACAAAACTTAATGCAGTTTTTCAATACAATCTAAGAGCGTGTTTAGGTTGAATTAGTAAAGCTAGGTCTAGTCAAAGAGCGTGTTTTGGTTAGATAATTTGGAAAGCGAGAGGTATTAGAGCGTGTTATTATCTTTCAGTACCAACTTAGAATAACAATCATGAATTACATCAAGTCATAATCAAGTTGAGCAATAACATTGAGAACTAGAACTAGAACACTTCAATCAAATTGTTTACAAGTTTATTTCATTTTCTGCATGTTTTTAAAGTAGAATGTTATTTTACTATTTTACTTTTGCAAAGAAAACCCCCCTTTATGACCAAAGTACCTTGCGTAAAGAGGTATAGACTTTTATCCCGTGTCTTTGTGGTTCGACCCTGCTTGTCTTGTACTACTTTTTAGTGCATTGAAGTAGTGTATTTGAAGTCTGTTGTACCCCTATCATTTGTTGGGTTTGACGCACCTAACAACGCTTTAGTCATCTTCATAATTTTTGAATAATTAGATTTTGACGGTTTGTTCGAATGCGTTATTTAATTATCTTTTTCTGATTTTTTAAAGATTTTCATAACCATTTATTTGGTTGAAATAAATTTAATTATTTTCTAAAGATTTTTTTTCTCATTTCTTCTAAAATTATATATTTCCTCATTGATTTTCCATTTACAATATTCATTTGGACCGTACAAATCGATAACATTGGAATTTATTTAATCATAATAAATTTATTTAAGAAGTAAATTAATTATCATGTTCAATTCTTTTATCGTAATTTTAGATCTAGAAAAAAAAATAAATAAAAAGATTACGATCATAGCAAAGTAAAAATAAGTTCATATCGTAAAATTGAATTATGTTACAAATTATAATTACAATGGTCATGGAATCTTGAATAAATATACACAGACAAAACATAAAAAAAACATTAAATAAATATTTTTAATAAAATTATAAAAAATAGAAATTTTATTCAAACAAAATGTAAAAAAATACAAAAAATTAAAACATTAAAACAATTATTCAACGTTAAAAAAACGTTAAGTAATGTATTCGAACAGAACATCACAAAATATAATATATATTCTAAATATTAAAACAAAGATAAACAAGTAAAACAATAATAAATAGTTAAAAGTATAAAAAAAACGGAAATATCTTAATCTATATATTAAAATAAAAAATGAGAAAAAAATATAATGATTATAAGTATGATGGAAATATAGTAATATTTAATTATTTAACTAATTATTGTTAAAAATGTAAATTTATGACCTTATAGTTATTTATAGTTATTTAAGAAAAAATAAATAATGAGAGGTTATGTTAAAAATTTAAAGAGGTGCAATGAAAATTTTTCATTGCCTTTAAATTAGAAAATTCTCACCCAACAAAGAATAAGAATAACCCGATTGGTGAAAACCTTTGTTTGGCCCTACTCATTGGTACCAACAAGTCCCGTCACAATCAGGCTATCGTGATCGAGCGTTTATCTGTTTTATCATTCTATGGGATTTCTAGTTTGAATTAATATATAACTTGTGTGGCAGGTTGATCGACCATTGTAGCAAGTGGGTGTTGTTGAAAATAGCTGGTCAACTGCGTGTTACTTGGACGGTTGCTAATTATCTCAAGTGGACCATCATCTTTGAATTTTGCCTCTAAATTTCCTCGGTCAGAAAAGTTTGTTTCTTTCGGCCCATGCCGTTTATGGCTTAAACCCACACATAATCCACATATGAACGAGGGACAAGTTCACATTCATGGAGAAGCTTACCATATTCTTGTTATGCTTTGGTACTCTTCTAATCTCAATTTTGATAACTTTTGCAGCAGCAGCAGACACCATATCAGCAAATCAAACCATCACAGATGGTGACACCATTGTTTCAGCTGGTGAAATCTTTGAAATGGGGTTCTTCAGACCTGGCAGATCAAATAATCGGTACGTAGGGATATGGTACAAGATGATACCAACCCGTACGGTGGTGTGGGTTGCTAACACAGAGACTCCATTGAATGATACGTCTGGTGTGCTCAGAGTTAGCCAGGGTGCACTCCAAATTCTCAGTGGTAACAGCTCTGTAATCTGGTCATCAAATTCATCGGCATCTGATAGAGGTAGCGATGTGGTGGCTCAACTTATGGATACTGGAAATCTTGTTCTGAGGGATCAGGGAAGTTTAATTTGGCAAAGTTTTGATTATCCTGTAGACACCCTTCTCTCAGGAATGAGAATCGGCGTGGATTTGATAACAGGAAGAGAAACATACTTGAGGTCATGGAGGAGCGATGATGACCCTTCTCCTTCTGCAGGTCAGTATGTCTTTCGGGTGGATACAAATGGGTATCCACAACTTTTTGAGAGGCAAAATATGGCTCCTGTGTCGAGATTCGGACCATGGAATGGTGTTACATTCAATGGTATGCCTAATTTAGGCGAAAATTCAATATTCACACACCAGTTTGTTTTCAATGAGAATGAGATATACTATGAATATGCACTTGTGAACGACTCGCTTATTTCCAGGATGCATTTGAGTGCGGATGGCAGAATCGAAGACTTGATTTGGGTCAATCGCACACAAAATTGGACTGTCTATTCGACTGCAAGTAACATTGATGCTTGTGCGCGTTATGCAATCTGTGGTCCATATGGAAACTGCAACATTAACAACGCCCCTGCTTGTAGTTGCCTGGAAGGGTTTGAACCACGGCGCCCTGAAGAATGGAATTTAGCAGACTGGTCAAGTGGGTGTCAAAGGATAACACCATTAGCTTGTGGGAATGGGGATGGATTTCGTACACTTTCAGGTGTAAAATTCCCAGACACAAATCGTTCAGTGTACAATTTGACCATGACACTTGATGATTGTGAAACAACTTGCAAAGAGAATTGCTCTTGTACAGCTTATGCAAGTTTAGATATCAGAAATGGTGGACGCGGATGCTTGCTATGGTTCGGTGATCTAATGGATATTCGGGTGTATGATGAAACACAAGAACTTCACATAAGAATGCCTGCTTCCGAACTACCAAGTAAGGCTTCTCTTCTCCATTTCCATCTCTGTTATTGAAGCTTTAATTGTAGTTGTATATGATTCGTGTGTATATGTACAAAATAACATCCTGATGATCAGTTGTCATTTATTTGGATTGAATAAAGGCCCTACTTCCCCAGAATATGGCTCAGGGTCTGGAAAGAAGAAACCAACGATCACTATAGCTGTGTCAGCTGCAATTGGTTCATTTATTGTATGTCTGATTCTAGCACTGTATGTAGCATGGAGAAAGAAGAAAAGATCTCGCAAGAGAAGACAAGGTACCCCAACCAAGTTATTTTTTTCTGGTCTATATAATACTAGAAATTAGCAGACACACTAATTATATATCCTAACTTGTAGTTTTGATGCAAGCCCGTGAGGAGAAGTATACCAATGATGAGGATAGGAATAAAGATACAGAGTTGTCCGCATTTAGCTTGTCCATGATTGCTAAGTCAACTAACAACTTTGCTCTCGACAATAAGCTCGGTGAAGGTGGATTTGGTCCGGTTTACAAGGTAATGTAATACATTCCCTCTTTATATGAAAAACAATAATTAATATTTACATATGAAAGATAGCTAATGATATATCCATAACCTGGATCTTTAGGGCGTGTTTGAAGATGGACGAGAAATAGCTGTGAAACGACTCTCAGCAACTTCGTCACAAGGGCTTGATGAATTCAAGAATGAAGTTGGATGTATTGCCAAACTTCAGCATCGAAATCTTGTGAAGCTTCTCGGATACTGCATTCAAGGAGATGAAAGAATGTTGATATATGAATACATGGAGAACAAAAGCCTTGACTTCTTTATATTCGGTTCGAACACACACATTTCATTTGCGATATATATAGTAATTAGTTCGTTAATTGTATATACACTAATTTAGTGACTTTGTTTTGCAGATGCATCTAGAAGTATCATGCTTGATTGGCCTCTTCGTTTTCATATTATCAATGGGATTGCTCGAGGACTTGTTTATTTGCATCAAGATTCACGCCTACGAATCGTCCATAGAGATCTGAAGGCTGGCAATATATTGCTGGACAAGAACATGAATCCCAAGATATCGGATTTTGGCCTTGCTAGAAAGTTTAGCGGATATGAGACTGAAGCTAACACGAACAGAGTGGTTGGAACATAGTAAGAATCTAAGATATTCTCATTTGATTGTATTAGTTTCATTTAAAATTCTCATACATGATCAACGAATTTGTCAAACTATATTTCAGTGGTTACATCTCTCCAGAGTATGCAGTGCATGGCCTTTTCTCGGTAAAGTCGGATGTGTACAGCTTCGGAGTTTTGGTGTTGGAAATAGTGAGTGGGAAGAAAAATAGAGGATTTTCTCAACAAGATTACAATGACACCCTTATTGGACATGTAAGTAAATAAGTACATGAGGCCTATATTCTTAAACACCCCATATATACCCGAGTTATAGTCTAGCCCATTAAGCGCTTGATGGAAGTTATTCTGAAACACCCCATATATGCATGATGGAAGTTATTTGTAGCCTTAAGGCTCATAACTTATAAGTGGCTTATAATCCTTACTCTCTATCAATGTGAAATGGATTATTACATAGTATTTTGTGACTATTAACGCCTTGGATTATGCTAATAACTTCTTATTTTGACATTAGGCATGGAAACTCCACAAAGATGGAAAGTCAGTTGAGCTAGTTAGCTCATCTGTGCGAGACTCATGTGTCACCTCTCAAGTACTACGGGCAGTGCATATTGGTTTGTTATGCGTACAACATCATGCAGATGATAGGCCCACGATGCCGTCAGTGGTTCTCATGCTGGGTAATGAGAACTATTTGCCTCCACCTAAGCAACCTGCATTTTTTGCGGAAGAGAGGTTTGTGACAGAAATCAACTCTTTGTCATCGGCCCCAACATTGGATTCTATCAATGAAGTCACCGTAACACTTATGAATGCTCGATAGCAAGTAAATTCCTCCTTTATTATGGTATTCTTTATTCAACTATATATGATTCTATAATGCATCATGTATATGTAAAGAGAATGTAATTACGAAAACCTACATACATATCACCTCATTTATATATATTTTTGAACTATAGCAATTTTGGGATTCGAATATTAGTCGACTTGGATAATTTAAGGATCGTGTATATAAACATTTTTAAAAATTGTGATTTCGACCCTATTGCCTGATGTATCACTTGTAATTCATTTGTTCAAACCCTAAAAAGCTGAATCTGTGATTTTAGTTTCCATGAACCATTATTTTCAAAATATATTTTTTTCTAAAATGCTCCCACGAAAATCGCATAAGAAACAAAAAAAAAAAAAACAAACCCCACAAAATGTGTCCATCCACCATTGTTAGCGACTTGCACTTTTGTGTTCAGGAACAAGCCCAATTCTTGAACACACTCTTGATCTGTTTATCCAACAAAAGTTTTTGTTATACGGATTATGCAAGCAGTGGAGAGATATTATCGTTCCAAATGATTATGCATAAAACGAACCTATTGGTTTAAACTAGAAAACTTTGACATTAGCTATATGGGCACCAACCAAAAATGGTTAGGTTAGGAATACGCCAACTCTAAGAGCCTCCAAAAATCATTATATAAAAGATGAGGAGTGTGGACCTTCCTTGTTAAACCGATGTGGGAACTCCTCAAAGTTGATAGTTAAAAGCCATGGAGTTACACACAAGGATGTAAATGGGGCGGGATGAGGCAGGGTTGACCATCCTTGTCCCCATCGCCGAGTGCCTAAGCTCGTCCCCATCCCCGAAGGATGCATGGAATCGAATCCCCTCCCCTTTAGATTTTGGTTTTTCCCCGACCAATCCTCGGCTCGTCCTCGATCTATCAACATAATGAAATCTAATACAATACAAATTAGTTCTTGCATTCTCATTCAGTATTTTGTATATATAAATACAAATACAAAGGGATCAATGCCAAATATAAAATACAATAAACAAGGAAATAATCTTCGGTAATAGCCCCCCTCAGTTGGAGCGGGAGGAGGACGTAGTTCAAACTGGATCTAAAGTCCAAGAAGAGTTGAGGAGGCAATCCTTTGGTGAAAATGTTTGATAAGTAGAAGGGATATGTAGAACACGGATGTGACCAGGAGCAACTTTTTCCCGGTCGAAGTGTATGTCCATTTCAATATGTTTCATACATTGGTGTAGCAATCTTGACAACAACATTAAGCAACCACCAAGCCTCGACAACAACATTAGCAACCCCAAGGTATTGAATGGATCAGGGTCGGTTGTCGTTTAGCAGACTACATAATCAAATTATCACCTAGGAACACACAATATCTGGATGTCAAACTATGTGTGTCGGGACAACCACCCCAATCGGCATCAGTATATTCAATAAGTTGAGATGGCTTGCTAGAGTACAGATGCAAGCCAAGTTGAAGAGTGCCTTTTAAATAACGGGGAATGTGTTTTAAAGTATTTAAGTGTGGTTCCCATGGAGCATGCATGAAGAGACACATTTGGTGAACAACATAGGAAATGTCGGGTCTAGTAAAAGTTAGATACTATAGAGCACCAACTAACTGGCAATAGGCACTAGGATCAGCAACTGGATCACCAACCGAAGCATTGAGCTTAGAGTTAGTGTCTGTTGGTGTAGCAACCAGTTTATAGTTTTCCATTTTGGCTGTCTTGAGAATTTCACCTGCGTATTTTTGTTGTGAAAGAAACAAAAATACGTGAGTTACTGAGGTTATTCATGTGACAATCAGATTTTAGGGAAGAGATGATTTGGACCTTTAGCTGAGGGGAAGAAGCCGTAAGAACTATGTCATCGACATAGAAAAGTAGATAAGCATATTCATTATTGAGATTCCCTGGAGGTTGGTGCATGTAGACTATTTCCTTGAGATTCCCATGGAGGAAAGCGTTTTTGAGGTCAAGTTGGTGAATAGGCCAGTGACGACTCAATGCAAGAATAAGAATTGTTCGGATTGTTGCAGATTTGGCAACAAGACTAAACGTTTCGCCATAGTCCGCACCAAACTCTTGCGATTTACCATTAATTACCAAACGTACTTTGTATCGCTCAAGAGACCCGTCTGACTTAAATTTATGTCGAAAAATCCAATGACAACCAATTACATCAGTATCCCATGGACGAGGAACCAAATCCCATGTATTCTGTTTAAGTAAAGCATTAAATTTATTGGTCATAGCACAATTCCAATTTTGGTCAAGGAGAGTTGACTAAGGAGAAGTAGGAATAGGAGAAATAGAACTGGAGTGAAGGGCATATTTGGGATTTTGTTTGTGTATCCCACTTTAAGATCGTGTACTGATGTGCACTTTATATACCTATCTAGCTTTAAATTTATAAACCTAAGTACTTAGCTAAATTATGCACTTATAGGCAGTGTACCTAGTCAGATTATGGAATAGCTTGGGTAAGTCATGTGTCAATCACATGGAACGGTATTTATTAATAAAATAATTACTAAAAGCAAAACTAAAAACAACTAAAAGTGGGGCTTCTATCTAATTTTACAAGTTCAGAAAAACTTAAACTAAAATACCTAATTAATGACTAAAAAGACGATCTAAAACAAAGAATAAAAGATACTCTCGTTTAGCTTCGAATCCCTCCTTTTTCCTGTGGTTGATTCCATTCACCATGTCGTGGTTATCAAGACTCATGTAACACCTGGTTTGATTTGGAAATGTTTTATGCATGGACTCGACGAGTTGGGAGATCAACTCGTCGAGTAGGGTCGTGGTATCATGGAACACGAGACGGGACCGACTCGGCGAGTCGAAGGTCCGACTCGGCAAGTCCGAGCTGTTTAAAGAAAACCCTAAATTTTGGGGTTTTCCCCCTATATAAACGACACTATACGCCTTTGTAGCCTCCCTTAGCATCATAAGAGATCGTTTACGGCCGCAAACACTTGGGTGTGTGAAGTAAGAGCTTTGGGAGCTTAAATCTTGGGGTTGTGGAAGGAATTCCAAGCTTGAAGAAGAAGTATCAAGGAGAAAACACTAGATCTAGCATCTAGTTTGTCTTGGGCATTGAATTGAGGTACGAATCTGTTACCTTAAGCCTAGATTCTATTTGAGAGTTGTGACCAACTTTGAGGAAATGGAAGCAAGCTTAGATCTGGACCTATCACAAGGATATGGTTCTAGATTTGGACTTTCTTAGGTCCCAAATATCATAAAGTCACACCTTTTTATAAGCTTATCCCCTCTCCATGCGTTCACTACTAGAAAAACAGCCTTTTACGACGCGCAATGCGTGTCGTAAAATGCTCACACGACGCGCAAATGCGTGTCAAGGAAGGCCCTGTCATAACGAGAGACGACACGCTTTTGCGCGTCGTCTATAGACGATGCGCATTTACGACGCGCAGTTACGACACGCATTTACGACGCTCATTTACGACATGCAATGCGTATCAAGGAAGACCCTGTCATAAAGGAAGACGACACGCATTTGCGTGTCGTAACCTTACGACTCCCATTGCGTATCATTAAAGCCCCTGTCAAGAAAGGTCATGTCATAAATGAATATGACACACCTTTTTGCGTATCGTAATTTTAAATGTTTAAAAAAATATTATTTATAAATTTACTAATTTTCAAATTAAATTTGCATTTAATGTCTCATAATAGAAAATAAAATATCATATACAAAAAATACAATCCATTACATAAAATTTAATGTCATACAAATAATCGTTCCATGGAAAGATAAAACAAATCAATAGAAGTTGTAACGAAATTTACAAACTAATAGTTCTAATAACCTAATGTGTGCCTCTCTGTAAACAAGATTTGTGCTGATTTTTTTAAAACCCTTGTCATCAAATGCTTCCTTGCCTACAATAGCTGTCTGAACATCTGAAATTTATAATTTATTTTTAACATTTTACAAAATTATATTATATACAATAAGCTTCTCAACACTTGTTATCAAAAAAATTAATTAACTCTCACCAAGGTATTGAATTAGAGCTTGAACTCCACCATTTTTGTCAAACATTGCTATCTTTAAAACAGGCCCAAAAGCAGAAAATACCTGTTTACAACAAAGTGAGAGAAAGAGAGATTAAAAATGAACACATGGTCAAATATGAAAAAAACATTCACAGTCAGAAAGGTCAAGTTCTTGAATTGATTTTGTTAGATACTTCTCCTTGATGGCCGAACTATTCTTTTCCATTTCATCTCCATCAGAATTTCCATCTTTACCCCCGTCATTACACTTTATTACTCCAGGTAAATGTCCATCACTCCATAAAGATCCTGCCAAAGCTAGTCAAAGTCATGCTAGAGAGTCATGAAAAAAAACAATTTAACATCCTACATTACTGAGGAAATAACATGGAGGGGCATTTAGGTAAAATCGTCATTGGGATTAGGATATATGTTATTATATGTAAACTTACTCATGGGGAAGAGCTATCTGCATATATATACATTATTAGATGAAGATTTATAGATTCTTATTAGGCATGTAAATGTAAATAAGAACTTATGTGTACAATTACTTGTTTTTTCACTATGATCTATAAACTCATTGACTTTTTCCACAAGATCCGGATATGCTCCAAGCAAACTATTTACCTAACAAAAATAAAAATTTCTTTAATTTATCAAATTAAATCTAAGGATACCACACAAAAAGTCATCTAGAAGTTTTATGGATACACAAACAACGAATGCAGATAACTAGCAATAAAGCAGGAAGCAGATACTAGAAACAAAAAAGAATAAATCTTTAAATAATGTGTATTGTGTATATAAGTTTACCCTTGATTGTAGTTGTGGTCGAGTAATACTCTTTGTGCAATACTCTGCAATGCACTTCAAAATGACTAGTAATCATCTGAGTTGCTCAATCTTTCCTTCACCTTCTCACGAAGACAAAACATTTGGCCATGTACATCTTCCAACATACAAAGGTTCAATAAGGACATGAAATCAATTGTTCAAAAGAATGCAATACCTTTATAACAACAGCCAGATGGGACTAGTAGATACCTTGATGAAAGAGTTCAGCTACAGAGTCTTCAAGAGTACGTGGGGGTTTATTTTGGGAAAAATGATGTGTCACATCACAATATTTATAATCTTGATCATGTTCTCTTTGTTCTGTGTCTTCTGATGTGTCTTTTTCTTTCTCACCATGTTCCCTAATCTCTTTATCAGGTATAGTACATGCTTTTTCATGATCTAGATCAGGCTGGTCAACGTTGACTTTGCATTCAGTGTGAGGTGCTGGGAGTGGGTTTTTCTGGGATTTTGTTGTTGTTACAGGGACACGGTAAGGGAACATATCATCAGGTAACCGGATAGGGGCCAACACGGAAGGAACTTCACGTGGATAATTTGAATGAATAGCAGTGCTAATCAAGCTGGGGCTCGGCTTGGGTGCAGACATACCTCCATCCATTGACAGTGAAGATGAACATGAAATTGGACTACAATGAATAAAGATGATGTATTGAGAAAAAGTGCAACAACCATAGAAAAGAACAATTGCAAAATATGGGGCTTAGATGCTTGATATAGTTTCACTATAAGTTTGTTTAAACTTTAAACAACAAAAGGTAAATGATAATCATTCATTAATATACTTCTGAACATCTTCATCTAAAAAATTCATTCCAAGATTAGTTGGCTGCTAACTTTTCCAACCTTGAAATGAACTAGATTTGTCAAATATTCTTGAACGTCATATATGATTAGGATATTGTGGAAATAACAAATAAATCAGATTGAAAAAGAAAAAAAAAACATGACAAAATTGCAAGAATGGTCCTTGTGGTATGTCAAAACTAGCAACTTTGGTCCAAATTGGGTTTGGCTCGCAAGGATGGTCCAATAGTTTCGTTTTGTTGCGAGTTTAGTCCAAAAATTTTAAAACTTTTTATAATGACGAATTTGCCCTTGGTATTTTCACTTTTTCAATTTTTTTATTACAGAAATCAAAAAAAGAAAAAAAAATCTCTCTCTCTCTCTCATTAGTATCTCATCAGAAAAAAACTCCCTCCTCCTTCTTCTCCATCGCCGGAGAAGGCAACACCTCCCCTCGTTTTGCAACAGCCCAACCTCCCACCACAGCCGATGCCGTCAGAATCCCTTCCTCGACCTCCCTTTCATCTCAAACTCGTCTATCTCCCTCGTTTCTCACTTCTCCGGCGAAGAGAGCCACCACAGTCGAGCTCCTCCTCCTCCCCCTGTCGTGACCCACCACCATCCAACATCCCAAATCCAAATCCACAATGGGTGTTCTTCGTTCTTAATTTTGGATCTAAAATAAAACCCAAATCCAAAAGTTGAAGGTAGGTATGTTCTTGGTTCCAAATTTGAAACGAATATGAAGAAGGGTAGATCTGAAACAAAATCCACACACAAAACCTTACCTGAAACGAAAACTCACCATCGATTCGAACGAAAGGCAGATCGACGGGAGCTCCGGTGCGGCTGGGAAAGGAAAGGGTCTTCGTTCTTCATCTCTTCCACTGATCAGGAATGGAAAATATGAAGGTAAATGATATGAACCTTCGACAGTGAAACTCGAAGGGAGGGGGCAAAAAAGAAACAATCGACATTTGGGGGGATGTCTTAGCGGATCCGAACGACAAGAAAAGGAGGAAAACGGAAGCAAGAGAAGAGGTGGGGTTGTTGGGCAGTGATGAATCGGAAAGCACCACCGGAGCTCAACTGTCTCGAAGAAAGAAGAAGAGTAGGGAATGAGGGGGTTGTCGTCTCTCGTTCTTTTATCAGAAAAAGAATAAAAACACACACAATTGAGAGTGTGTTCATTACAGAAAACAAAGAAGAAGGACAACATATATATAAACATCGATCCAAGGGACTGTTTGACTGCTTTGTTTGTCAGAAAAGGAAACACAAAAATAGGGTTGATGGCCATTTAAATAGAACATATAAGGAGGGGGTTGTAGTCGATGAAGGCATCAACAACAAGTATCCGGGTGCTTGGGGTCTGCTAGTTGTCGAGGGTGGAAACAGGGTAGTAGCCTCGGCTGTTTGCCTTCGTTTTTTTTGTTATCAGGTGAGAAACAAGAGAGAGAGAGAGATTTTATTTTTTGTTTTGTTTTTAATTGTTTTTTAATTGTTGTAATAAAAGAAAATTGGAAAATAAATAATAAGGGGCAAATCCGACACTATCAAAAAGTTGATTGGAAATTGGACTAAACTCGCAACAAAACGAAACTATTGGACCATCCTTGCGAGCCAAACCCATTTTGGACCAAAATTGCTAGTTTTGACATACCACAGGGACCATTCTTGCAATTTTGTCAAAAAAACATTATGTTCTTCAGATTATAACCAAATCAGATTACTATAATATAAGCAAATTATAGCAAAAGCTAAAAACAAAAAACAAAAAAACAAAAAACAAAAAACACATTATGCCCAAATCAGACGGAGGCGATACCAGCAAACAAGAAATAAGCAACACTTAAACTATATCATTTTATCAAAGAAAAGCTACCCTTTAACCCACCTTGTAACTTTTGCAATCTGTTCTTCCGGAACATTGAATTTAATAAGCACCTCTCTTGCAGCATCCATGCTTAATCTATGAAGATCAGCATCATTTCTAGTGACTGTAGATCCTCTTCTATTTATAGCAACTTTTTTCTTTTCAATGACATTTGAAACTGGAGCCTTGGGAGCAGTTCGAACATAGCTAAATCTTAATCATCTACCAGATGGATCACCAACACCAGTAATCTCCAATCTTTCAATATTTCCTCTATCCTGAACAACAATATTTAAGACTTCAAACCAATAAATCATATCCAGTTAAGTATTAAGTCCTTGTTTGGTTTTTTTTACCTGATTTGTACAAGAAACAAAGTTGTTACTTCAATTCCAGGGAGTTATTTGTAATTCTCTCTCGATGTGGGAAGCAGCAGCTAAAGCTATTGCTTTATCAGGGTGCTGATTCATTGCAGAGAAGAGACCAGATGGATGAGTCATGCTGATTCCTAGACGTTTAAGTCTGCACATTCCAGCTAGCATGCTTTCAAAAGCACACACCTAACACACAAAAAGAAATAAGATAAAAGAAAAGGAAGATAAAGATTAAAGAAAAGTGAAAACATACATTTTCTGGTGTCACCGTTCTTCTAAGCTCCTCCTCTAATTTTTTGACTTAATTGTAGTTTCAAATAAAACAACAAAATGTTCAATACATATCGATTGAAGGCAAACGGGCAACAAGCTGCGCCGCTAGCCCTTTTTGGATGGCAAAACCAATTCTTTTGAAAACTACATTTGTGGATCTAGGAGATATGACATTAGAATGCATGACCCGTTGGACTCTATTGAGGAGCTCCACCGCCTCTGGTGCGAGAAAACCAAATGTATCGAATGCAAAAGGTACAAACACATGTTGATTTTCTATACATGCATTCTCGTGCTTTACCACTTTGCACGCAGCGGCTTTCAAAGCGGCATGCCCAGCTGTGAAACCCCCGCTCCCCAAACCAACGAGAGGAGAGACCCCAGTAAGATCCACACACGCATGCTTCCCTCCTATCCATCCAAAGACCAAAATGTCAGCCGGTCTAAGTGTGGACCTTCCATCCTGCGGGTCTGTCAAAAAGTTCACCGGCGCTTCTTTCTTCACAGAAATACCAGCACACCGACAATCATCAAAGAGAACATCCCGAACCACATCATGTCTGTACTTGAAACCAAGGAGCTCTCTACAATGAACTGCGTGTTCCCCAAAGGTATCCTCTAATGGAATACGAAAATTTCGCTTCATAACCCATGAACCCCTCTGGTGATTGGTTCCATAAATATAAAACAAATTTTTAATATATTGGTATTATGGGTAAAAAAGTAAAGTAATGAGTAAAATTTCACCTGAAAATCACAGAATAACTTTAACCTCTTTCTTAAAGAAACTTCAGCTACATTTGCAAACTGTGTAGATAACTCATTGGCACGAATGGCAGGTGTCAAGCCATTTTTTTGAAGAGCACGAAACTCACGATACATGAACACCATAAGCCTATTCATATTATACATCTGAACACCTTTTGATACAGGGGACATCACCTCCATGTGAGGCTCCTATTTAAATTACACATTTTAAATAAATATATAGATGGAAAAAAACGAAGGAAAGATATAGGTCAAACCTGTTGACCAACAACGTAAATCCGGTCAATGCGTCTTAATGAGAGCTTTCCCTTTGAAGAGCGAATGAGTAAATAGTCAGTGGATGAGAGTTTATGTGGATATATTGGAGCTCTGTACATATTTGTTGAAAGAATTCATGGATACCATTGTTCCTTAAGGGAATCTGATCTCTAGGGCCTGTTCTTCGAATAGAATATCAAAAGGATCAAGTTTGGGTTTCCTACTAAATTAGAAAACTAAATCAACAACAGAAATACATTGTTGGATAAACTGCTTCCCACCAAAGAACTCAGTGTAACCTTGAGAGGAGTGAAAATCAAGTGGTGAGAGAAAAATGTAAAATCATAAGCAACACAAGACGAAGCCAACACAAAAGATTCATAATTTAATTAGAGAAAATAAATGAAGTAGCCAACAATTCGATTTAATTACCTGTTTTGCAGTCTTTCAGGAGCTTTCAAGACCTTTCTTGAACCCTAAATTTCTCCAATCTCTGAATCCTACCCCAAAAAATGTTAACCAGGGTGTTTAATTTGTTGAAATCGGTTCAAATTGCTTACCAATTTATTGCTATGGGAGAGGAAGTCAGAACTAACGACTTCGATGTCAGCGGTAGAGATGACGACGATCGAGTTTCGGAGTGGGAGGTTGGGTTGCCGAACGTCGATCTGACTCAAGATGGTTGTGGAAGGCGAGGAGACCATCGATCTGACTCAAGACAGTTCTGATTCGAGGAAATTAAGGAGAGTTGATAGCGGCAGCGCTATCGGTGGAGCTGGAGAGGAAGCTGACTCTGTTGATAGCGGCGGCGCTAGCGTTGAAAAGGTTTCGTTTGGTTTGGACTCCTCAACTGCACAAGAGATTTGTGGAGGTTGTTGCGCATTTAGGAGTGAAGAACGTTGTTCCTAAAACGATTATGCAGATGATGAACGTTGAAGGATTGACCAGAGAGAACGGCGCCAGTCATTTACAGAAGTATAGGCTTTTTGTAAAATGGATACACGGATCATCTAACGAAGGGCCATCTTCTTCTGATCCTTTATTCGCTTCCGCTACTATTCCAAGAGTTTTCACGATTCATATTAGCAGATATTACATAAATTTTTGGGGTAGGATTCAGAGATTGGGATAAAAGAGAAACGATCGTTATTCTTCTTCGGTAGAAATGTTCACAATTTTGTGTGGAATGAATGTGGAAAAAATCCCTAGTTGTGAAAAAAAGCCCTAGTTGGTTATTAGGAGGAATGAACGCGCCTTATTAAAAAAAATATAAAGCGACATTCTTACACGACACACATTTTACGAAAGGCGCCCTCCGTGTTTTTTTTTCTTTGCTATGATACTAGTTTTAGGGCACGCAAAAATGCGCGCCCTAAACCCTTAAAATTTATGAAGAGCTAACATTATTTTTAGGTTACACACTTTTTTCGTATCATAATCACTGCATGTCATAAATTGCGTGTCATTAAAGGCCTGTTTTCTTCTAGTGATTAAAACCTTGTTTGAAGGTTAGTTATGGTGTTATGGCCATGTGAGGCTATGCATGCACGTAAAGTTTGCAACTTTACGTGACATCTTCACTAGGAGAGTATGGATCTGAAGTTTGAAACCTTAAATCCACTGGAAAGAACCGAATACGTGAGAACTCGTCGAGTCCCTCTAGTGACTCGGCGAGTCGAGAGGATTTTCTCATTTACGGCCAAGGGTTCACGGCCAAGGGTTCACGTCCGAGGGTTCACGGTCAAGGGTGTACGGTTGGTGGTTTACAGCCGTGAACATCTAGGAACTCGACGAGTCCCTCGAGTGACTCGGCGAGTCGATGAGTTAAACAGGGGACCCGATGAGTGACTGATTGTACTCGACGAGTCAAGGTTAATATGGACTATTGACCTTGACTATAGACCTTGACTTTGACCAGGGTTGACCGTGGGGGTATTTATGAGATTATGCTGAGTTATTTACTCATTGATTATAGACAGTTTGGGAGGAGCAGCGTGGGATATATATCTGACTACAGTTTCCAGTTCAGCCTTTGAGAGGTGAGTCTTCTTACCATACCCATGGGTCTAAGGCACCAAGTGTAATGCCCGTAGATCCGGGCTAGACAATTTAGAGACGATAAGCGTCAAAAATGACTTTTTGATAAAAGATTATTTAGAATGAATAATCTTAACTAAGTTGTAGTAGTCGTGGAAAGGTTTCCGAAAATATAAAGAATGTCGAAATCCGAGTTATAACGAAGAAGTTATGACCTGTCGAAGTTTCGCGACAGAACCGACACGACACAGCGCGACGTAAATAGTGAATTTACGATAGAGCGATATTTAGCCTTAGTGATCTAAACGAACGTCGTAGAGTTCGTTAAACCGAGAGCATGCATAAAAAGAACGTCCAAATCTGACTTCGTATGAGGAAGTTATGATTTTTCTACGTTTCAGCTTAGCAGTATGCAGCCCGAAGTTCGGATTTGAGATCGAGTGATTTCTAGCCGAAACAATCTAAACAAGAATCGAAGATCTCGTCAATAATAGTACAACAGTAAAAAGACAGACGAAAACGGACGTCAGATGAAGAAGTTATGAATTTCTAACGGAGTTTTCCTGTCCCGGCCTATTAAAAATATATTATTAAAAATAAAGTCAGAATTAGCTGACGAAGTCTAAATAAAAGTTGTAGATCATAGTCTCACCTACGCGTGGATATAAAGAACGTCGAAAACGGAGATCGTACGCGAAAGTTGCGGATTTTACAAGTTTTGGGCTCAAATCTCGAGAATCGGTCCGAAATGAACACTATGCGTTCCAAGGGAACGCCCCGCGTTCGGAAATGCTAGGTCTAGGTTAGTCCACGTCGCCCACTAGTCCCATCCAGTGCACCATCCGAGGATGAGGTAAGCGCTGACGTCCGAAGCTGTTGAACGCGCTGCGTACGAGCAGGGAACGCCCCGCGTTCCTCGCAGGTACGCCCTGCGTACGAGGAGTCAGCCAGTCCTATATAAAGGGTGTGAGGGCAGCCGAGTTCTTTGCCAATTTTCTTTCCTTCTCTCTCGTTTTTACCTCGTTTTTCGTGCAAGAAATATCCCGAAGCCCCGAAGATCCCGAGAAGTGAAATTTCCAAGTCGAAGCTCTGCCCGCGAGAAGCCCGGTTTTTGTGAAGATCTCCCGGTTTCATCGGAAAAGATTATTTTAAGAGACGAGGTGCTGTCCGAACATTGCCTTATCAAATGAGTGTATAGTTACTTTCTTCTAACACATAAATATGAAGTATTTGCTATGAAATACGTACTATGTGTTAGTAAATTGTTTTTTTATCTGAGAAGGGTGTTTAATATGAAGTTTTGGCTATAAAATATGTGATATGTGTTAAATAAGTTGTTTGATTATTTGAGATGGGTGTTGAATTCAATGTTTGGTACAGGTTTTAAATAAGTTAAACTGTATATACATTTTATATCTACGAATATGTTGGGTAAAACATGGGTAGATAAATGATGAGGTATGAAAGATAATTAAGAATAATCCTGGAAGATGCGCTTAAAGGATAATGTCGGCAGATGCGCCTAATAGTGTATGTCGTAATCCAGGCAGTGGCGCCTAATAGTGAATGTCGTAATCCTGGCAGAGGCGCTTAAAGGATAAAGTTGGCAGATAAGCCTTATGTAACAATGGATTTTGTGCCAACTCCTTAGGTCAATCCTTAGGAATGAATGAATGAAGGATAGTTGACTCTTAGGGTAAAACCTTAATAAATAAAGAAGATAATGGGGATGGGTAATTGGATTGATTTTTTGATGATTAAATATAATAATTATATTATTGTGGGTTGAAAACCCTATATGCTCACCAGGCTCCCAAGCCTGACCCACTCAGTTTTCTTTGCATTACAGGTAATGGCACAAGAGCATAAGTTGGTTGACATGACTAGAGATTTTGGATAATAGACCAGTAGTTATAAATAATTGTTGTAAGGTCTATTTTATATTGTTTATGCTTTTGGTCTGTATTGGAACATGACATCCCGAGATTTTATTATTTAATGAAAAGTACATTCTCTTTGAGAAATGTTTTGATAAAGTTTTATCATATCTTGTTTGGGAACAAATTCCGCAACCGTTTTCTTTAAAATATTACTCTGATTTTTTTTTAAAAAAACAAAGCATAAACAAATCGGTCTTTTCTGGCCGTGAAATTGGGGATGTCACAGTTGGTATCAGAGCATTAGTTTAAGCGAATTAGGAATTTGTAGGATTTCTAGACTTAAACTTAGAATGCTAAGTGATGATTGTGAGATGAGTGTCTACCATATTTTAGACACGAGCACTAGTATATTTTAGGAAAGATGCCTAAAATGCTTTTATGTGCTAAACGTTATATGTTTGCCATATATGAAGTTGTTTGTTCGGATCTATGGTCTGTTGCCGACCGGATCTGGAAACCTTATGTGTTTAGGATTCTAAGCGTACGACTACGATATTAGAACTAGCATGTAAACGTTTCGGAGTGATAAGGATGATTTGAATATCTATCGTAAATGAGGATCTAAATTCACCTTATTCGGTGTATAGATCAAGAATGGCAAGAACAAGAAGCGGAGTTGGAAACACGAACGAAAACAGGAATCAACAGCCTCAACCACCAGTGATCGAGCAAGCACCTGTTGTAGCTGCTGCACCTGAGCCAATGACAATGGCTGGTGTACAATTGATGATTCAGACGATGTTGGATCGTCAGATGGAAGAAACGAGACGTCTGCTTCAGCAGAATCGTGAAGAACCTTCGATGCCGATTGTGCAGCCCGAATTAAGTGAAGGGCAGTCGGAAGGAGGTAACTTCAGTGGGACTGTTGGTCAAGCCAACCCACCGATTGTTAGACAAAACAATCATGATGGAGGAAATGATGGAAGAGGATGTAAATACAAGGATTTTATGGCATCTAAGCCACCGTGTCTATCCGGAATCCCGACGCCGGTGCAAGTTATGGATTTGATCTCCGAAATGGAGACAATGTTTGAAAGTTGCGAATGCAGCAACAGGCAGAAGACCGCTCTTGCGATCCCTTTGTTAAAATCTGGCGTGTTGAGTTGGTGGAGGCTGTTAGATGACTCTATGCCCAAGCGAGAAGCGAGCAAGATGTCTTGGGAAGACTTCGTGGTGCAATTCAAATTGCAATACTGCTCCGAGCAGGACCTTCTGGAAATCAATAATGAGTTTCAGAATTTGAAGAAGGGAAAAATAAGCGTTACTGAATACGCTGCTAGTTTCACGGAAAAGATGAAGCTTATCCCATACCTAGTTCCAACAGAACTCTCAAAGGTCAATAAGTTTGCCCTCGGATTACCAGCGGACTATGGTCCAATGGTTAAGCAAGCAACCACATTGAAAGCCGCCATCTGGGCTGCTAAGAATGTTGAGACTCAGTTCAGGGAGAAGGGTCTGGAGAGATTAGAGGTTGGTGAGAAGAGGAAGTTTGATGGGTCTTTAGGGTCCAATGAGAAAAGAAAATTCTCGAAGTCTGGAGAAGGAGGAGGGATGAAGCAAGATGGTGCGATAAGTGCAAGAAGAAGCACTCGGGAAAATGTGGCACGGAGGTGACATGTTTCAAGTGTGGAAAGCATGGGCACTACGCCGATGATTGTATATTGAACAAAAAGGTATGTTACGAATGTAATGAAGAGGGGCACTTCAAGCAAGACTGCTCAAAAAGGAAAGGAACTACGAAGCAAAATGCGCCACCAAAGGCAAGAGCATTTCAGATGATCCTAGACGAAGCAGATAACAACGCGAGGAATCAAGGATGAGGACTTCATACCCGAAGATCGATATATGAAGTAGTAATGTAAATAATAACATGTGGTGTAGCCTACTAGGGGCATAGTATAGGGTAAACTTGAACCTATATGTAATCGTTTCAAGTAATAATATGAACCCTAGTTTTGTTATCTGATGTGTTGGATGATTGTGTGATTTTATTGTATGGTGACTTGGATTGACTACGTGACAATACTTGGGACGAGTATGAGTAGGTGTGAATGGTAGTAGAGGCCTATACTACCGGAAGCACAGGACTCACACTTGGATCAGGGAAAGTCACAAGGTTACCAAGAAACTAGTAATTGATTCCGTTTCGTTCATG